GTCACTTTGGTTTTTTGCTGAGAGAGTACATGGAAAGATTACTGATAGAATTTAGATTCCATTAAGAGCTGAGGTTTGAAGTTGTCTATGAAAAAAAAAAATTCCAAAGAAGTGATGATTTGAGTGTTTGAGAAATGTTGGCTCTAGGGTTACAAACTGATGTAACTTTCATTCAGCGTTTTAGTTAATTCGACTTTAAATGAATGTTCACTTCAGTCTGACTTGTTTTTTCCTGTTTTTTAACCTTTTGCAGATTGGTGCCACTGGCTAACAAGGTGGAGGTTGCTTTTCCTCTGCGCTAATGCACATCCCCGCTGTTGTTGTTTGATATGTGAAATCATATCTGCATACTCTTTCTTCGCAGGACCACCCAGCAATTGTTTTTTTTTTTTTTTGGGGTCTGTACCCAGCAATTGTTTATTGTATTCAAATTCTCTCTCTCTCTCTCTCTCTGTTACATATGTTTGGCAGGGATGCAATCCTATCAAAACAAATGAGTTCATCTTCCCTCTTATGCAGCGGAAAGAAAAGAGGAAGAAGAAGAAGGAAAAGTTGATTCCGAAGGCAGGGAAATGAACGGTTTAGCAACTTTTCTGCTTGAGGTCATTTGGGCTTCAATTAACGTTCTGGTGGCATCATTTGTGATGGGTTCTGGCTGTTAGTTGGTGATGAGGATTTTGCTGCAAGATTATTCAAAGTAGTGAACAATAGTTCAAGTCTGACAACCTCGGCTCAGCCAATTGCCCAATTTGTTGGCGATTGATGAATTTTTGGAACTCGCAAGGCCGAGTATTTGTAACCTGTTTAGCTCGTCAAGAATGGCTATATCCTCTAACGAACAACCATCAAGACACAGAGTGTGTAAGTTATGCAAGGACTGAAACGGCAACGGCGAACGAGTGAGACGTATCTCAATAAGATTAAAGAGCATAAATTTTTTCATAGAATCAAAATGTAAATATGAGACTTTAAGAGATTTATTGTTTGTGAAAAGCAAAAAGATGTGCAATTCAAGGCCAATCTAATCATTTGGGAAGCTGCTCATGTCAATATAGGGAAAGCATATTGCCCAACCAGTTTTGAGCTTGCCCTTGGGCAACTATGCTATCAACTTATCTTTATCTTTCAACATGAGAAAGATCGAGGATGCTTTCTACAAGCTGACTGAAACAACAAACTCATGAACCAAGTTATGTAGCTTGAAATTATCAACATCTCCATTATCTAACAAAAGGGAGTAGACTTGAAGAGCACGGATTAGCGAGCTCAACCTATCGAGCTTCTTCCATGCCCCGCTGTCTTCATGAAATAACCCCAAACCCATGTCGTACGTCACCAAAATTTCAAGAAAGGACTCGAAGATGCCATAAACAACACAGAGTCATAACAATGACTTTACCTCCTTGCCTTTTAAATGATCTCATAACTCAATTGCAACGTCTTATTTACCGCCTCATCGATTCCTTCGTTTTTAGATATCTCGATTTGTTTCAAAGCATCTTTCCATTCAAATAAACCAGCGTATTTAAAATGTGCAAAGTTCTGATAACCACGAAACTTTTTAAAGAAGCTGGTTTATCTGAATGGAAGGATGCTTTGAAACAAATCGAGATATCTAAAAACGAAGGAATCGATGAGGCGGTAAATAAGACATTGCAATTGAGTTATGAGATCATTTAAAAGGCGAGAAGGTAAAGTCATCGTGATTACGTGTTGTTTATGATGTCTCTGAGCCCTCTCTCGAAAATTTGGTGAGGAATGGCATGGGTTTCGAGTTATTTCCGAAAAGATAGCAGCATGAAAGAAGCTAGAGATTGGTTGAGCACACGGATTCCTACTTTCCAAGCCTCCTCCCTTTTGTTAGACAATGGATATGCCGATGATCCAAGCTTAAAGGTAGAAAAGCTTCCTCACAAGCCCCACGAGTAAGCATGCATTCTCCCCCCTTCATAAACCGAGCAAAGCCCATTGTATCGAATTCTTTTTACCCTGCACACAAAATGAATGCTAGGAGCCCAATAGCTAACAAATACTAACTTCTAAATCGTATGTAAGCGGGACCAAAACTAGGTAATAATCACTCACTTCGTCTGAACCGATCGCTTGTTAAAATCTGGATTGTCACACATCCTTCTCCCATGTCGAAATTTATCTAATCTAATCTATCCTCAAAGTCGGGCCTAACATAAATGTTAAGTATCTTTTCGAAAAGTCAAGTCATATCACCGTCACGGCATGACTCTGGCAACTTAGGCTTCGATGCCATTCGAAAACATCCCGAAATTCACTTAGCTCTGATACCAAAATCCGAAACATCCCAACTCTTGCTTACCTCGGATACGAAAAGCTGTAATGCCCCGGAATACTCTCTCCTTCTACCCTGCGCTTCGATATCCCGGAACCTCGATTTCCTATGTCCCTGCGAACAAACCTGCAAATGCTGTTCCCGGGGTCAGCCTTAACGCCGCCGAGGATGTTGCAGGGCCGGCGAAAACTGAGATAACGCAGTCGAACGCAAGAGGATGTGCCTTCCTTTCTTCGTTCCAAAAGCGTGGAATGTCTGCATTGTGTCCGTCGCGTGCTCGTTGTCGTTGGTTCGATTGCCGGTTCTCTCTAGCAAGAACGACCCTTGTCGAGAGTACATGGACATCATCACTTCTCCCGGAATGAACAACTGAACTTTGAGAGAACGAATTAACCGAAGAAAGGAGTAAATTTTGTCGGATGCGAAGTGAAGACGAAGCTGATCATGGGGAGTCTGATCAGCATGGAACACAGTGAACTGAACTTATAGCTGCAGCTCATGGGGTTTGTTTCGCAAAAACTAGATGATTTAGAAAACATTTTTCTAAAAATAAAATTGCTATTGCTTACAAAAATGGGCGAACGAAAAAAAAAAGTTTCATCGTTTAGTTAAATTTTTAGACATAAACTATTGTCGATAATGTAAGATTTCATCAACTAATTATTTCAAGCGATATAAGCTATCATTTTTAGGAAAATGTTTTCTAAATCATCCATTTTTCGTGAAAGAGACAGAGCTGAAAACTTCAAGATAAAGTAAAATGTTTTTCGTGACAATCATTTTTAAGGAAAATTGTTAGTTTTGATATGTTCGGTGGATTAGGGAAAGTGATTATCATGTTAAAGAAGAGATAGTTATTTTCCCTTAATTTAACTTTATAGTTTTCACTCCATGGAAAAGGTTTTTCGTAAATCGATTAGTTTTTGCCCATTCAAATATTGAAAAGTCTGAAAATAATTTTTCTTCAAACAAACGGATTTCAAGAGTCATTAATAATTACACTTTCTAAGCAATGTTGATTAACCACGCTTACTGTCCCATCAGTAGTGCACTCTGCAAGCACAGATGGTACTGCATGTTTAGGGTGTGTTTGTTTGAACGATATAATTTTTTGTGAATTAGTTTTTTGGGCTTTCACTTGCTTAATTTGTTAAAAATGATAAGTCAACAGAAAATGATTTACGGTAAAAAAAAATATATGCATGCTTAAAAGTTAGGAAAATGAATTCTCTAATCTGAAAATGAAAAAACATTTTTCTGGAAAACGATTATATTCATTATGAAGTTTTACCCGAAACAAACACACCCACAATATGTCTGGAGAAGATGATGTAAGTGAGTAAGTGTGGGATAATGGTATTGCAGTTTCCTCCGGTGGAGGACGAGTCGCGTGTGAGCGAGAGGACATGCAATTTTCTTCTCCAGAAACAATTCATTAGATCGGATGAATCACAATCGTTGCTTTTACGAGTGGAACCCACAGAATCAACATCTGCGATTCATTTAATCCAAGATCTGAATTTAAATATGTACTCCTGGAAAATGGAAGAATCGGCCTTGGCGGAACCCACACAATCGTTGCTTTTACTGGTGGAATCCACAGAATCAATAATTGTGATTCATTTAATCCAAGATCTGAATTTAAATAAGTACACCCGGAAAATGGATGAATCGGCCTGGGCGGGCCATAATTATATCCGATAATATCTTTTCGTGTAAGTTAGTGATTTTTTTAAACACGGAATTTCATGGGCAGATCACTAGTTTGCACTTTTATTTAATTTTAAATACTCCAAATTTTTAGAACTATTTTGGTAATTATAATGATTTGATATGATTTTACATGCTTTGTCATTTAGAGACAACGCAAAGAAAAGCTGCCCAAATGAGACCTCCTCTTTTATGAAGTACTCATTTCTTTGGTAATATGTAATCATGAAAATTTCGATTTTTTCAATAATGAAAAGCAATTGTTGGTTAAAATTGCAAAGAGCAAAGAAATTCTATCCATATACCTAAATAGAGAATAATATTTCTAAAATTCGAATAAGGTTGTAATCTAATCAACAAGATTTACATTTTCTAGAGAATTGAATTACTAACTTACGTTACACATTTCTCTGAGAGATATGAAAAAGGAAAAAAAAAGGATCGAAATCTTTAAAAATAACAATTTTTCCTTACTCCACGTAATAATATATAGAGTTAATATCATGAAAAACCCCAAACTGGTTAATTTATCACAAATTTACCCTCCATGAAATTAGATTAATCCCACGAAAAATCCCAAACTGGTACGCCTGTTAACTGTCACATGTCATCAAATTCAGAAATTTGATAATAGAATTTAACGAAAACCGACGGATGGTAAAATTTATCACGGGTATAACAGTTTGGGATTTTTCGTGTTCATGTGCGCGTGCTTACATATATATAATTATTTTCTTAAGACTAATTTAATTGCGGTATGTCTGGACTTTTAGGTACTTCCGACGTACGTTAGCCATCGGCTCGTGCAAAAGTGGATTAAGGTAGGCGAAAAAGTATTTTTGATAATTCTCCCATTTTGTTTAAAAGAGGGGGAGAATTGAGGAGGGGAAAATATTTTTTTAAAATGTTTTTTCAAATTTGCCTTTTTTTTATATTTATTTAAATTAAACCTCCAGTTGACCCCTCGGAGAAGCTACTCCCCTCTTCCATTTTCTCCCTCCACCTCCTCCTCCTGCTACTGCACTCCCCGGGCCGCTTTCCCGCAATCCGCCTGCCGAGAAAACGGGGGAAAGTTCCGGCCGCCGCGAGGAATGGACGGCGACGACCTCGAGGCCGCCGTCGCCGAGCAGCGCCGGGAGCTCGTCGCGTCCCAAGCCCTAGCCTCCGACGCCGACTACGCCTTCCAGCTCCAGCTGCAGGAAGCCATAACCGCTTCCCTCTCGCCCTCCCGCGCCTCGGCGTCGCGGCCTCCCCCGGCGCCCGCCGAGCCGGTCGGGGACGACGGCGACGGCGACGGCCGGTCGCTGGCGACGGCTCTGATGCTGGAGGAGATGGAGAGGTACGCGCGGGAGCACCAGGATCGCGCGCAGTGCGAGGCGGAGTTCCGGAGGATGAGGGAGGATTTGGACTGTCGGGTTCACGACCTGAGGTTCGCCGCCGAGATCGTCGGCATCCCTGAGGAAGAGTGGCGAAACTACGGCGACTTTTATCACAAGCCGTTCCAGGCCGGTTGCTCTTCCTCTGCTGCATCGTCTTCGTCGTCGTCGTCGTCGCCCGCGAGTAGCGAGTGTTTCAGGGTTCATGTCAAGGGTTTGGTGAGCGAGGAGTGGATTAAGGACGAGAAGGTTGTGGTGGCCGGGCTTGGGGTCGCTATTTGCGATTTCAAGGACAATGTGATTATGGAGGTGAAGAAGCCTTTGATCAATGACGTTTTGGTCAGTGACTTAGAAGCTGAGATCGAGGCCTTAGTCCAAGGGCTTCATGCTGCGTTTTGCTTGGATTTGAAGAGGGTTAACGTATTGATCGGCGATGTTAGGCTCTATAACTACGTAAGTTTCGACGATTCTCGGCATTAGAGTCGTCTTTTCCTATGAAAAATGGCGTTTTGCTTATAATTTTGGTTCATTTCACTAAGCTGTTGGTTCATGTTGACTGGTTTGAGTATCTGTTGCATTGTTGGAACTTGTAATGCTGGATTACTTGGGCTCGATTTGCATTACGCGCATTTTCCTGTTGGTAGGGAAACGGGAATGGTCTGGTGATGCTGACTAGTATGAAGCAAGTTATAGAAAGTGGCTAATAATTAGGTTGGTAGATTGTTACTGTTTGGTTGATGAGGAACTATTTTTTTATCCACCCGCAGTTTTTTGGCCCTTTTTTGCAAGAGAAAAAAGCAGGGTTTGTAAGCAAACAAAGTGATCTTTCTGTTTTGAGAAATATGTGAAAGTGTGATTTAAGTGGAACTATCTCAACTGGCTAATGGGATAAAGCTTGGTGGTTCACTGCTCTATTGCATCACTTAAAAGATGGTTAGTTAAAATTACTTTGTTTCTGAAATGGGATATCTTATGGTGAGAAGCTGGTATCTGTTCCTCTGAGGAGAGCAACGACGCTCCAAATTGCAAGGTAATAGCCTCTAGGTCCACATTGTTGCTTCAGCTCTTCCTAGTAGACTTGGAAGCATTTGCTCCATTCAGTAAATAACGATGACTCATCTCGCTACAGAGAACTGAAACACTTCTGTCACCAATATTCCATGGATGTAACCTAATTGCCCATCTGATTCTGTGCTGCTCTATCTTTGTTTGTCAGGGGAGTTGCTATTGATCTACTTGCCAGAAAGAATCACTCTTCCACTGAAATTGTTCATCTGGAATAAATAGCAACAACCATATGGCATGAAATCTTTTGTTCGATCTTTTAATTACATCAGTTCTCTTTTTTGATGTACAGTTAAATTGCTATTAGAAATTGCCGGTAGGTATGACTTCTCTATCTTTGGATTTTGATCGAGTGGTGCTTTGAGCAAGGGTTTGCTGCTTCTTTCAATTCGCAAACCTTGTAAATTATTTTCACTTTGCACAATCGGATCTATTTTTGCAGCTACCTGAAGAGGGAAAAATAGAAGGTTTTAATCTGCTTCGCTGTTGTTGCTTGTGTGTTCTTTAAAAGTTCACTGTGATGCAAAATTGCAAATATATATTGACATTGTTTACTCCTCAAGTTTCAGATGACATTTTCATTATTTTGCTCGTAATGCTCTGCAGCTGTCCTCTTCTGGTTTGTACATTGGAGGTGTCATTCTCATGCTATTTTTCATTCCTAACTCCTGTTGTTGTCCACATACTTCAGAAATTGAAATTACTAGCAAAACTTTGGTTACATGTTTATTTTTCGTTTCTTTCTTTGTGTAATTAATCCTGATAATCAGCAATAAAGACAGGTCACAGGCATCCAATCGCCTGGACAAAGCAAGATTGCTACGCCGTTGAATGAGGCTACCATGCTCCAAAAGAAGTTAATGTATTTCGGTGCAACCCTGGTGGGGCCAAATGATACTAAATATGCATATAAACTAGCAAGAGATGCCATTGTTTCTCAGATCTCATGGCCTGAGGAGACTAACCGCGGGAAGAGCTTGAAGGAGACCTGTGTTATATGTTTTGAAGATAGCAGTGTCACCGAAATGTTTTCAGTTGAGGAATGTCTGCATAGGTATTGCTTTTCTTGTATGAAGAGGCATGTGGAAGCAAAGTTGCTGGATGGAGTGATGATTAAATGTCCTCATGATGGTTGTAACTCTGAGGTGAAGATTGATAGCTGTGGTGGGTTTCTCGAACCAAACATTATTTCAATTATGAGCCAACGGATGAAAGAAGCATCTGTTCCTGTGACAGAGAGAGTCTACTGTCCGTATCCCAGATGTTCCACTTTAATGTCAAAACACGAGGTTTTAGAATATTCCAGAAATGGTTTCGTTGGAGCTGAACATAGCGGAGCTAGAAAATGCATGAAATGCCAATTCTTTTTCTGTGTTGAATGCAAAGTCCCCTGGCATTATAACATGAGCTGCTATGAGTACCAGAGGTCAAATCCTATTGCCACTGCTGGAGATGCACAACTGAAGTCTCTCGCAAGTAAGAGACTCTGGCGTGAGTGTGTGAAGTGCAAAAATCTGGTTGAGCTGGCTGAAGGTTGCTATCACATAACGTGCAGGTTTTCCCTGTTCTTTAACCTCATTTTCCTTTTTTATCGTTGACACTTGATATGTGATCCTACGCTCAGTCAACCGGGCTGTATTCTTTGTTAGGATGTTTTCTGCGCACTTTAATTTGGAAATCTCATCTCAGAATGAACTTGAGATTTTCAGTTCGTGTTTTGGTCCTGGGATGAGCTTCAGATTTTTAGTTTGGTCTGTTGGTGTGGGTCGACCTAGATTTTTTGTTATCTGAATTCATAGTTCACAAGCGGGCTGGACCACTTTTGGAGTTGGTCAGAAACAACTAGGACTTCTTCTGGCATACTGCGTGGGACAAATTATAGATCTTTCCACTCGTTCAATTTTGCGCTGTCCAAATTTTTCTATGATTTTCAAAATGTATTTCTGTGTTTCTAACTTGGTTGTTTAATTTGGAAATTTGCATTGCAATTGATTGCCTTCATAATTGTAGATGTGGATATGAGTTCTGCTATATCTGTGGAGCTGAGTGGAAGAATAAGAAAGCAACATGCTCCTGCCCAATCTGGGATGAGCGGAACATTATTCGTGATGGCCGCCGAAGGTACTGATGGTATGCGAAAAAGAATGTACAGAATCTAAAGATCTTTAGTTTCTCTGAATGTCGAGGAAATATGGGTACGAGAAGATTTGAACTTGTGAATGGGACATGGGCAGAAGGTGCCATACGTCACTGCTGATATGTTGATGGGATGAATTGTAAATTCTATACTGCAAGTTGCCTTAGTTGTCTATTTCCTAGTTACTTTCACAATCACAGGCACATTAGCAAAGAGTAAAAGGCGAATGTATGACAAAATACGTTTTGTTAGTACCTGTACCTTGTTTTGGTAAATCCAAGTTAGGCAGAAATGCATGGAAAAACGGAGATGGGAAAGGAAACGTCATTTTCCTCCTCAAATTCTGGATGTACTTGGAAGGAAATATGTGGAGCGGATAAGAGTTATATGCAATGGGTTTTAGGTGTAAGAAAAGCGATGGAGAAATGGGAAGACGAATGTGGTGGTAAAATCTGCTTCCAGCAGGTGGATTGTGCAGGGAATTTCTTTCATCTCAAACTATTTCCCTCCATCTTTCTATTAGCGAAATGAAGGGTAAAAATGCTCATCTGTTAATCTTTTCTCTTATCGATTATTCTCGCACATCAAGAACCGATGCACTGCCACCATGATGCACACGGGGTACGTGCGCAATCACGGGTAGGTCCGGAGATTGTGACCGATCTCATCTTCGCTCCGGCCTAGTAAATGTACCGGGTTCTGGGCGGAACTTCGCCACGAAAGGCCGCATGAGAGTAAACACGAGGAAGCTTCTTTGCGTGTTGCATGTGTTGTTTGATTTGGATGGACTTGGGGACTGTGCAAGAATGGGGATTGTGTGTGCTGGCGGAGTGTGCATGATAAGTTTGGCAGAATGTTCAGTTCAATCCGACCGGTGCTAAAAGGCGATGGGCTAGGGTGGGATGGACCACCCATTATTGAGGCCACTCGGGGTTAAAAAGGAGGAGAGGGAGAGCCCATGTGCACGCCCGCGTACTCGTGCGATTAGATTGCTTGAGCTGTCTCGATTGAATTATTAGGCTCCGCTTCACCACCACGGACGGGTCGATATGCTCTTTCTCTGTCTCCCTCGATCCAATTCCCAAGCTTTTCATAATGGGAAAGTGTTCGGAGGACCCACTCCTTTGATAGCAAGACAAAGAGCAACAGCCATCGTAATAGCTCGCGAAATTGGAAAATGATAGGGCTTGACTTCCTCTCCGGGGTTGAAGGTTGTTGAACACGCTTTGAGAATGGGACGAACTTTAGAAACAGACGATGACGCGTCGAGGACGTTTGGATCGATTGTCCTCCGCGTCTTGTGTTGGTTTTTCTCTGTTCGAGAAATTTGCGACATCCAAAATGCAGATCGGATTATAAAATTAGCGGTAATGAACATAAATATGTGGTGTGCGCGTGCGTGTAAACGAATGGACAATTACGAAATGAGAAGTAGCTGACCGAAAGTTACCTCCGAGGAAGTGAAAATAGTAATGTTTTGGAGTGAATGAAAGGGGGCTGGCGATGGCTGATAAATGGTAATAGGCTATGCTCTCTCTTTTTTTTTTTTTAACGATGTTAGGTATGTGTTGATTCGCATTCATAGCTTGCTTGCTAACCTTCTTTCTATTTTCATTTCGATGCGGAGTAAGATTGATTTGATGATTGAGAAAGATTGAAGATGCGATGTATGTTCAATTCACCGCGCTATTGAAAATGCATTTAATCATACGTTCCGTTGAATTATTTAGACCGCGATTTACATCTTACCTGATATATCGATATATCCCGGGTGAATTTAAGGCGGGTCTTACGAAAAAAAGAGATGTACTCCTTGTAATTGTTGTTACGTTACAATTTGCAACAGTCAACTCGCGTAATTATTCCGACCAAATTTTTTTTTTTTTGGGGGGGGGTTCGGATATTCCAACCAAAAGTTAAAAAAAAACCAAAAGAAAGAAGGAAAGAAAAGACCCCATCTCTTCTCTACTCGGCCAACCCTATCGTCACGGCAAGTCAAAGCATAATGACCGTCGCAAACACGAGGAAACGTCGCCTTCCGTCTCTAACGACCCGCTCGCTGACGTTGACGGCCGTTACTCCGACGGTTACGCCAGCCAGCGGCAGCTTTTTCACTCCCAACCCCCCTCCTGCGCGCTCATCTCCACGTGGCGAGCTAATCGACCGTAAAGATCCTCATCGGCCGCGCCATCCTAGCCGCCCACCCTTCCCCGGCAGCACCGGGCCTCACGCGCGGTCGCGCCGTGGTCCACACGCAAACATAATTCCATTTCGTCTTCTTTTTTCTTTTTCTTTTCCTCTCTTTTTTAATAAATTAATTAATCCCCAGGCACTTTTTTTCGTGCCGAGGCAGTCTTTAGTCATCGGATAATTATCCACATGACAAGCAGATAAAATGGCTAACGAAAAAATTTATTCTAGAGCGATTCGATGGCGTAACGATGATGCACGGGGATTCAATTCGATGTAGAATAATTTATCGATCGGATTGTCCTTGCTCAACAATTGCTTGCTATGAGATCAGATGAGGGTTCCCCTTACTGGACTCCTTTTTTTATTTTATTTTTATGTGTGTTTCGCCTGACATGTCAAAAGTCTATTCCATCAGCAATTAAAAGATTTGTTATAATTTATTGAAGTTCAAAGAATTTTCATTTATTTATTTACACATCGATGCACTTCAATTGAAAAGTTCGATCAAATGTCTAGTAACTGTCGATAGGCATTAATGTGGTAATTTGATACATGGACATTAGACATCATTTCAGCATTATGTGAGAAAATCGCTTTATAACTGTATCGATTGAAAAAAAAGCACATAAAAATCAAAATAAAATGAAAGTTCAATAATACGAAATTAGAGAAAGGATAAAAGTCACCGAAAATCTTAAATTATGTCCACCGTTACACACATAAATTTTTTTTCCGTGATACAAAAATCTCAAATTCGTATTTGTGTACAAATTTATCTTTCGTCAAAATTTTGTCAATAAGAATCATTAAAAATTTGGTTATACGGATGCCAAAAAGTAAGCAGCATTAATATGACATCACGTGATTTGACTAAAAATTTTGGGATTTTTAATATTGTATCACAATCAACATAGCATGAGGTTTTAAACGTCGAAAAAAAAAAAAAGTCCGAGTAAACAATTGGGTTTTTCCTTTCTTCTTTGTTTCTCATTGCATAAATTTTTGGGTTAATACCACGAAAACCCCAAACTGGTACACTTATGACACATTTATCCCAAATTATTTTTTTGACCATAAAAAACCCCAAACTGGTACACCTGTGACAATTTTACTCTGAACTATTTTTTTGACCACCAAAAATCCCAAACTGGTACACTTGTGACAATTTTACCCTGAACTTACCACAAAAAACCCTAAACTGGTACATATGTGACAATTTTACCATGAATTAAAATTTTAATATTAATATTAATTTTTTTCGAATTTTTATTTATTTTTTATTCTTTTCTTTTCTTTTTTTTTTCATCTTCAAACTCTGGCCGGTCGCCGGGCCAGAGGCGGAAGCCGGAGAGGGCCGCCCTTGCCGGTGTCGGGCGAGGGCCACCCTCGCCGGATCCGGCGAGGGCGACCCTCGCTGGCGTCGGGCGAGGGCTGCCCTCGTCGGATCTGGCGAGGGCGACCCTCGCCCGACACAAGCGAGGGTCGCCCTCGCCGGCTTCCGCCTCTGGCCGGTCGTCGGACCGGCGACCGGCCAGAGGTTGCAGGTGAAGGAAAAAAAAAGAAAAGAAAAGAAAAGAAAAAAAAAAAAAAATTCAAAAAATTCAAAAAAATAATATTAAAAATTAGTTCGGAGTAAAATTGCCGATTTGCGATTTAGGTTTGTTTATGTTTGGGGTAAAATTATCACAGGTGTACCAGTTTGAGGTTTTTTATGGTCAAAAAAATAATTTGGAGTAAATGTGTCATAAATATACCAATTTAGGATTTTTCGTGGTATTAACCCTAAACTTTTCAGTGAAATCCAGTGGCCGGTGGATCGTCAGTATCAAAGACGAGTCCCACTCAGAAGATTCCAAAGAGAGGGTGAGGGTGGTGGGGCGGAAGAAAAAAGCTCAGGGAAAAACCAGCGGAAGCTTTGAGACAGCGCCGTTCATGGCGGCGGCGGAGGAGGAGCAGCAGCGGTTACACTGCAGTCCTCGCTGCTGATAACGACACTCTTTCATTCTCTGCGGTCACGTCTCTTTCCAAACCCCCACCATAAACACTCCGCTATCTGATCTCTGCTTGACTCGCTCCCTCCCCACCGTCCTTTTCGGCCCATTTCTCCCATCAACCTTCCCACACCAACGCAACCACCCACCCACCCACCCACCCACCAATGCCAGATCCATCTGGGTCCTCGCCCCCCCTTTCGACTCCCATGGCTTCTGGGTGTGCTTCGAACTGAACTGGGGTGGGACGAGAGAGAGGGAGGGTGTGATAGGGGCGATGGGTTCGGCCGCCGGGGAGATCGGGAGCGCGGTGGGCCACGCGAGGGAGTTCGCGAGAGGGGCGGCGGAGATGTGCGTGGAGCTGGCCCGGGGATGCCGGGACATCGTGCGGCAGACCCTCGGCAACGACGACGACTCCTTCCTCGCCAGGTACTTGGGGAGGGGCTCGTACGTGGCGGGCAGGCTCCGGGGCCCGTGCGCGAGGGCGCTCGCGAGGCTGGGCCGCCTGAACGAGTACCTGCCCGAGGACAAGGACCCGGCGCACGTCTGGTCGGTCGTGCTGTTCGTCGCCGTCGTCGCCGTCGCAGGTTGGTTGTTGATTCTCTCTCTCGGGGTTCCTGGTTTGACCGAGCAAGTTGCTTGATTGAATAAATGCTATCATCCGATGTTGTGTGTCTCTGTCGTTGACACCGTTATGCCCGTTTTCGACTATGGTTCGATCTTTCTGAGGATGAGAAATTGGAGAATTCGATCGGTTGACTCTCCTTTTAGTGCTCTGAACCCGGATACCCTTTTTTTCGGTTTTGTTGTTGATGAATTCGGATCCATTCAATCGAAACCTTTTTGCCGAGATGATGAGTCGTCGTAATCATGGGGCAATTCAAGCGTTGAGTTTCCTCTCAGTGCTCTCGCAGGCTTTTGATTGATAGTGGTGTATAAATTGATAGAAGTAAACTATTCAAAGGTGACAGCAATTGCCAAACATGCTACTAGAAGGCGTTCTCTGATTGCTAGCACGGTCTCTTGAGATATTGGCTATGTCCAGTCTGTACTTCATTCGCTTCAGTCTTAAAAATCACAATGCGGAGAGGTGAAGCTAGTGATTGGAGACTGGAATGAAGATGTGCAGCTGGATCAACCCTCTTTTTCAGCTGGAGAGGTGAAGCTAGTGATTTTTTTTCATGAAATTTATATACAGGAACATGAAATTAGGTACGCTACACGTGTATTTACCTATCCATTGAACTTCCGAGGAGATAGATTCCATTGGTGGGATAAGAAGTGGCACACTCCCGAGGCACAACTGGCAAAGATTTCACTTCCCTCGAAGTGCGAAATTAGTGAATCGGAATATCGGACGAACATGACTTTCTTTTCCATCTTGAGAATGTTTGGAAATTGGATGTTTGGAACCAGACAATAAAGTAATTGGAAGTTCAGCTTTTAAGATTAAATATTCCCGTGTGGAAATGTGGACGGAATTGCACTGTATGTCAAAGGGGCGCTTAAAGTGAGTTACCAGGTCACAAATGTTAGTACTAACTTATCAATATGATTGTATTTACTCCAATGAGAGCACTTGAGTTGGAAATATGTCGTGATAAAGCGAGAGTAGGCTTTGTATGGTTTGAAGTATGTTTTGCAAGCCATTGCAAACTGTTTCTTCATGATGCAAATTGATCTTACCTACATTCTTTTGGCATGGACTTACTGTTCTGAGAGCATTTCTGATTAGACTACTTTCTTGTACCATTTTCTTTCTGTGTTCGTGTTCCTTTGGTAATTGTAGTCATGTGGCCGACAAATTGCAGCTCTGAGTGTATATATTGAACCTAAAGCTTCTGTGCCTCTGGCGAAGAAAGTATTGATACATCCTCCAAGTGCTAGCCGCATATTGCTTCCAGATGGCAGATACATGGCCTATAAAGAGCATGGTATTCCACCTGACAAAGCTAGGTTTTCAATAGTATTTCCACACCCGTTTCTCTCCTCTCGACTCACAGGTGGGATTCTACAGTTTCTGCATTTATGTCGTTTCAATTCTCGTCTTGTTATTTTGGAGTCTCTCTAGTAGCCCTTGGATTTTAAATTATTTGATTTAAATAGGTATACCGGGACTTAAGTCTTCATTACTGGAGGAGTTTGGCATTCGATTAATAACGTATGATCTGCCTGGTTCTGGTGAGAGTGATCCTCATCCCCATAGAAACCTTGAATCATCAGCAAGGGATATTTCTCTTTTAGCAAACGCCTTAGGAGTCAATGACAAGTTCTGGGTGTTGGGATATTCCAGTGCAAGCATGCATGCGTGGGCTTCACTGAGGTACATTCCCGACAGAATTGCAGGTACATCATTTCCTTCTTCATTCTTTTGTCATGTCTCCCCTAATTTTTCTTTTTCAACTCTATAACTCCTATCAAAACGTGGGTTCTTGGATAAGCACGAGTTTTCAGAATATTGTAGATCATTAGGAAAACTGACAGACTACCCTTGGCGCGTTTGCTGAAAAGTACTAACAATTGCCTTTTACCTGATATGCAGGAGCTGCCATGTTTGCCCCCATGGTCAATCCGTATGACCCTCTAATGACCAGGGAGGAGAGATATAGAACCTGGAACCAGTGGACACGTAGAAGAAAATTCCTTTTCTTTTTAGCAAGAAGATTACCTAGATTTCTTTCTTATTTTTATCATCGGAGCTTTTTGTCCGGAAGGCATGGTCAGATTGATAAGTGGCTGTCATTATCACTTGGAAATAGGGTAAGTCACTTGGTTCTGACAACTGATGGTTCCTTTAAATTTTTTTTTGGTTTTCCCTCAGTAGAAACTTCTGTTACTGCTCTAAAATTTCCATAATGCAATTACTACGGATTGGTAGCTTTTAGGTGTGACTAGTAGTTATCGATCACAAAATTTTTCATCATGGCCGAGAAACATTCAACATTTGATTAAGAGACTGACTTTTGATGGAAAACGATTATAAATTCTTTTTAGCGTTGATGATCCGTGAGGATTTTGGTTGGATGTCATGTTACAGGCAAAGAGTTGACTATGATCTGTCACTTTAACACTATTGCACTTTGGCCTTGTGGTTTCCCTATGGCCCATTCAAAGTGTGAGATGGGAACCTGATCTTAGAGTTCTGGGATGAATAATGGAATATCATGCAGAACTTGATAATTTGTCATACCATCAGCTTTAGCTGTTTATTTATCTTTCATAACACTCCTAGTCACTGGCACTAGACCAGTCACGATCTCTCCCTGATTTCAATGTTCCATGATGCCAAACAATTTGGTGTTATCATACTGAATTCTGCCAATTTATTTAGGACAGAGCATTGATAGAAGATCCATTATATGAGGAGTTCTGGCAAAGGGATGTCGAAGAATCAATTAGGCAGGGGCATGCAAAACCTTTTGTGGAAGAAGCTGCATTACAGGTGTCAAACTGGGGTTTTAGCTTGGCAGATCTCAAGTTACAGAAGAAATGTCGAGGTAAAGGTGTTTTGAATTGGCTTAAATGGCTGATTTCTCTACTCAGCAAAAAAGAGGAGGAATACACAGGCTACCTTGGGCCAATACATATATGGCAGGTTTGTCGTGCATACCTTGAACATTTTATGTCCTCATGGCCAGAATAAGTTTAGGGAAATGCATTTGATGTTTATTCGTTCAGGTATTTCTGTTGTCAATATCTAGTGACTGCATTCTCTATTGAAGCTTTTAAATTTACTCGATTCTTATACTCGGGTTAATAGTTAAATCTTTAAGGAGACTTTGTCATAAATCTTTAAGGAGACTTTGTCATACTCTGGAAGAGATTTCCGGTAGGTCATACATCATTTGTCATTGATGATCACAGGAAGGGGGAAAACTAGTTAAATAAGCTGAGACTTGTAGAATATAACAGCATTTGATTCTTATGATTAGTACTTCCGAGCAATGGTTCTTATATGACTTTCTTTTTTTTCTCTTTTATTTTTCAATTGCTTCCTGCTCATTAGGGAATGGATGATAAAGTGGTTCCACCAGCAATGACTGATTTTGTGCACCGCGTCCTGCCAGGTGCTGCAGTTCATAAGCTCCCATATCAGGGTCATTTTACCTATTTATACTTTTGTGATGAATGCCACAGACAGATATTCACTACACTTTTTGGAACCCCACAAGGCCCGCTTTCTAATAATACTGAAGCTGATCTAAATCAGGCGGATGACAAGATGGTACAGCAGGAAGACATTATTCATGTTGACGTCACCACCGAGTGATTGACGATCATCTTACTATACAAGGGAGAATTACCATGTACATATATGGTATACGGGGTTTTCTTGGAAAGGTGAAATTGCGGATTTCATGTCCTTTGACTCGTCTTAGGCTGTCATAGGAAAGCGCTGTTGCTAAGTTCAGATAGAGATGTTGATAGATCAAAATTAATTCTCTTGTTCTTGTTCTTGTTCTTGAAGTTGGCCGAGGAGTTCAAGTTCCTCCGATTTGAACTGCTGATGTAGTATTTACTTTCGTGCAAAATCTGATGTACTATTTATTCATATTATCTTCACTTCCTCGATTTCTCTGGACCATTGTCGCAAAGGAGATATATGTACCCTCGATAATTTGTCCGTTTGAGTTGCTCCACGTGGACTAGGTTTATGTCCTCTCAGGTATGTCTGTGTATTCTATAACCTCGCTGCCAAAATGACCAGTTTAGTTTGCATAAATCTGGACCTGTTACGATTACTTGGGGTTAAGTCGCAAACCGAGTTACCCTCTTGGATCAATCGTGTTTTGCTTTAACCTGTTTATACATTGCAGGGAATGAACACTGGTTAACGGTGTAACACTGATCTTACACGACACTAATTTAGTCTTTCTTTGCTCAGGAACAATCGTAATCTGGTAAATGGGGGCAATGCATTTCTTCTTTCTGGAGAAATAGGAGTAAATACACAATCTGCTTCGAAAAACATCATCGGCCTCTAATTATTGACAGGAGTTAAGCTAACATGAGGTCTCTTCTTGCTACAAACCCTGTTCGGATCACTTCGAGTAGCTGTTTGGTAGCAAGAATGGTGGCATGGAAACTACTACACCATTTGTGTCAAACAGTTCTGTTTCTCTGTAGTTGAGGACCAACTCTGCCATCAACTCGCACAAGCATGTGAGAGCCGTCGCAAATTGTATTCCTTTGAGGCCAATGAACACTTTGCCGTTCAGTACAGTTGCACGTCCGAATCAAAACTCTTCCTTTCGTCGGGCCTTCACCACATGGTTTCTCCTCCGCGAGTCCTGATTCCACGATCCACAGGAGATCTCGCCCTCCTGCATTATAGAGCAAGATGAGCACGGTTGCGACCAAAAGCTGTATTATCCAGGGAACCGTTGCTAATGTGACACCAGAGACGGCCAATATCTGCACGTAAACGACGTTCTGAGTGTTGGCAGTGGCGAGGCGAAAGAGGAAGACGCCAACCACGGTGATCCAGAGTGAGTGCAAGAGGATCGAGCGGAGGCAGAGGCCTCGTTTGCATGAGCTCCGGTGTAGATGCTGCTGCTGCTGCTGCTGCTGCTGTTGATCCTGCATTGAGTGTTAATGGAGTTGGCGAATTGAGAACGAGGCAGACTCAAGAGAGTTCAAAAGTTTGTTCAGTTTTTAGTATTCACCATCGATTTGGTAGTTTTGTCTATTATTTGATTTTCTTTGTTATTGTTTTTTTTTTCTTGAATTTTTGAATTTTGAAGATGCTGCAAATCATGGTCATTTGAATTATTCTTTAAATCAATGAAATTCACAATATTTTGATTCTGGTAACTGGCTCCATGATTTTCTCCTGAGTGTAGATTTCACGACCCTGTTTTTTATTTTCTTATTTTTGGGTTGAGATAATGACACAAATAGTCCTTGAAGTTTAGCTCAATATGCGATGTGGTCACTGAAATTTTAATTTGTTCAATGTGGTCCTGTACTTTTAGTAGATGTGCAATGTAGTCCCTGAACTATACGAAAATGTTCAATATAGTCTTTGAATTTAGATTAATGGAAGGACTACATTGAACATTTTCATATAGTTCGGGGACTAAATTGAAGATTATCAAAAATTCAAGAATGATATTGAACAAATTAAAAGTTCAGGAACCACATTGCACATTGGGTTAAAGTTCAAGAACTACATTAAATAAATTAAAAGTTCAGGGATCACGTTACACATTGGGCCAAAGTTCAGGGACTGATTATGTCATTTTCTCCATTTGGGTATAATTAGCGAGGAGTCCAATCAACAGCCAAACCGCACTCCTAAAGTTACACTAAAGTGAGAATAATACCTTTTCCAAGACATTTAAGAAATTAGAGGGGTCTGTGCTTTGATAAGTATTTCCGATGTACAAGTTTTATCAAATAGATAGGCACGTTGAGATAACGAATTCAATTCTAGCATCACTTAAAGTTGCTGTTGCTAACTGTCATTAAACTTATGACATTGGTTTAGTCAACTTAATCTGGAAATTTAAATATAATTTAACAATACACAATTAGCCAAGTTACGTGTCAACACAAGAAAGGTATATGCATCCAGTATAAATGCAGCCGATTCAACAAGATAGGATTGAAGACCCAAAAAAGAAAAACAACAAGATAGGATCAGAATGCATATAAATCTACAGAAATAGTAACGACAGACTGTTTAGTAGATGGTAAGATTTATGGTATTTGATAGGGTATCTGCATATCTCAAATGAAAAGTAAACAGTTTGAGTTAGTTCATAAAATCGTGTTTTTTTGTTTACACAAACTTACGAAAAGATTAATTTCGATAGTTCATGTACACGCTTGGCGGTACTGTTTCGAATTTAAAAACAGTCATTTCACTAATTGAACTGCGATCTTCGAGAGACATAAATTATTCGTCGAAACCCTTCGAGACTGATAAATTATTTTATTTTGGATTTCTTTTGCATATCATGCTCATATGTAATCGAAAAAAAAAAAAGAGGGTTAGTTGCTGGGTACTGATATGCCAAAACTGTATAAACAAGAGATGTATTCATAGGCGCCATGTCACTTTCGTAAATATAGGTCAAAAGTATCGGCTGTCATCAAAGGTTCCATCCAGTTGGAAAACAGTTAATGATGTTTCAATTGTCATGGACCCAAAAGTCAGAGCTTTCACGCGACGCGGTTACAGGCTACATTAGCCCCAAAAATGACCTAAATTACTCTGTGCAAATGCACAAGTTACTATTCCTATGAAAAGGAAAAATTTTCATTTTTTAGGTATATAGCTGTACAAAAGAAGTCATGCCCAGTGGTAACATGGGTACCCCGATAAAAGATAGAAAAATTGGAATTCTACAAAGTAAAACCGCACATGAGGAGCGAGTGAACCTGCAAAAGCGACACAATGCGAAGACGGGTGGCAAATTAGAGAATCACTTGGTGAGCGCAGATGCTCTGAACTGCAATCTGCATATGATGTGGGGTCGAACCAACAAATCGAGCCGAACTAGGGAGCTCAGTCCGGTAACTCCTCGAGTTAGTAGGACCTAACCGAGACTCAAACCCAAGACAGAGGCAATTAAATCCGGGAGTAGCACTCCGAAATTGCTACTTCTAGAATGCTACTTCTAAAGGCCGTTGCTCCCCAAAGTTGCCCAAAAAACGAACGGAAACGCCATTTGCACCTGGTGAACCAAACGCACCCCGAGTCAGAACTCGGCCAAGATCCAACCCAAAGACAAGACAAGGGAAGGGGAAGGCAAAGACAGCACGCGAAAGCCCCCAACTTTAACCTTAAACATAGCCGAACCATGAACCGCTTCCCTATAAGCTTTTTAGCCTCCTTAGCCCGCCTCCCCCTCACTACTTTTTCTCTGTAGATCGCCGTGACGGCACGCACCGCCCTCTGTCTCTCTTTCCTTCCTTTTCCTGTTAACGCCCCCTTCTTCAAGAATCGTTTCCTTCGCTCCAAGCACGCAGACCCCCATCGGATCACTCAAAACCCCCCCACACACACGAGCCAGTAGAAACGACACACACCCACAAGCCAACAAGCGAACCAAGGCAGAAAAGGAGGCTCCTTTCGATCTCCCCTGCCGTTCATCGCCCGACCCACGAGCTCATTCCGGCTCGGCTGTTGCTGCTGCGTGGTTCCGCGTCGATCCCATCCGATCCCCGCAATGCCCACCGCCTAATCTCCACGCGATCCGCTCGGATTCCGCCTGGTCCCGTCAATCCGCGTGGAGTCTCCGGCCAGATCTGGGCCGCTCTGTCAGCCGTCCCCCCGCTAATCCCGTAGGGAATATATTCTTCCATGGCAATGCCATCGGGGAATGTGGTCTCGCCGGACACCAAGGACAAGATTCAGGCCAACGCCGCTGCCGCGTCGGGCGATATCTTCGGCCACCACCAGTACGGCCACCGGCCGCCCCCGCCGCAGCAGCAGCAGCAGCAGTGGTTCGTGGACGAGCGCGACGGGTTCATCTCGTGGCTGCGCGGGGAATTCGCGGCCGCCAACGCGATCATAGACGGCCTCTGTCACCACCTGCGCACGATCAGCGAGCCCGGCGAGTACGACGCCGTGCTCGGCTGCATCCAGCAGAGGCGGTGCAACTGGAACGCCGTGCTCTATATGCAGCAGTACTTCCCCGTCACGGAGGTCATGCAGACGTTGAAGCAGGCGGCGTGGCAGCGGCAGCGGCAGCACCAGCTGCAGCACCACCACCAGCAGCATCATCAGCACAGGCATTTTGATCCGGTCAAAGTAGGCGGCAAGGATTATCGGAGATCCGGCTCAGGGTATAGGCCGGGGCCGAGGAGCGAGAGTACCCGAGAAGGCCACAATTCGGGTGTAGAAACTAGCGTTAGTGACGCCGGGGCCGCTGCCGCAGAGAAGGGCGAGAAAGGGAATGAGAAATGCGAAGAGAGGAAGGATGGTGTCAAGCCTGTCGATGCAACCATGGCAAATGTGGAGGAAGAGAAAGGTAATGCAGCGATTTGGGCAATTAATTCGGTGTAGCGTGCTTTTCATTTTTCTCTTGGTCTTGTGAGCTTTGATTACCATACATTGCGATAATTTAAAGGACTCTAGTCGGATAATCCATTTATGGGAATGCTGTATTGCCTCCTAGGAAGCATGCTTTTTGAGTACGAGCTTCGTTATTGACCTTAAAATCAGGATAGTGCCTTCGGATCTATTTTGGCAAGTGCATTATTGATAGTGATGTGGTAAAACAAACTGCTTTGTCATTTTCCTTTTTTTTCCTTTCCATTGACAGCTTACTTTGAGCATGCTGGATGGAGTAGTCATGTCAGTTGATTTGGTTGCATTATATCAATGTTGAAGGAGCTGATTTCTAGTGGGAGGGATTTCTTTTGCCTTTAGAACACTTCCTTGCTTGGTTGTCATTCAAAATTGTAGGAAAGCTCCTTTCTTGGTAGGTTGAACCTATCTAACCTGCAGTTGTTGTAGGCATACGTCTTTTCTTTAATTCACGAGTATGCATCTCTGCTTGGGTTTCTCATTCTAGATAATGGAAGCATTATGGGTCCTTGTCAATTTTGTTGGGTAGATCGGCGTCCTAGGTCTTAAACCTTGAATGTGCTTTTTCTAGTTTTTGTGCTTTCAATATATCAGGTGCTGGATGGCAACGCCATTTTTAATGTCTAGCGCTCTCATTTAGCTTCATTGCTCAAATAAATGCGTGCTAACTATATGCTACCTTTCACGGTTTTTAACTTAATTTTTCTTTTGGTGTTTGTCATGCCTATGCTTCATACTTACATTTTTTCATACTGCACTCTTTAAATTGTAACAACAGAACTGTTCAGCCTGATCAGCTTCCTGCTCCATTGTGTTTCTATGTAATGCTTATACCAGGTGAAATGTCGAATTCGTATCTATTGAAGAGTTCTAGTTTGTTGTATTCTTTTAACATACGCTGAAAAAGAGGTCACTTGATTGGGTAAGTGATACCACGTCATAATACTAAGTGGTATAACTGTGGCGTGAAAAGAGCACTTCACTTTATTACATGGTATACCTGTTACATAAAAGACTTTCTTGTCATGAAGGCACTTAAAGCACTTGCCTTGGTGAATGATGAGGTGCAGCGTTTGCCTCAAGTGGTAATGCAATTTATATGACCTACCCAGCACATAGGCTTCTACCCAGCACTTGCCTTTGTCTTTATGCAAGCTGCTATATCGTTCAAATGGAATCTGGGGCATGGTTTAAGGTGAATTTTCCAGAGAGGCTTCCTTTAAGGCAAGGAAAAATGAAGAGGATGGAATCGAGGAAAAGTTTCTTCGTTCTCCCATGGGAGTTGAGTCTTTGAGTTGATGCATATATGCACATTAAACGAAATATTTTGTTGGTTGTGAATATATATGATACCTGAAATTTTACATCAACTCTTCTAAATGAAGATACTTAGAGGTCTGATTGATCCTCATTTTCTTCCTTCATTTGTATGAAATTGGTCTCTCACCTTGCTGTTAGCCAGTTTTTCTCCTGGATCGTTCATTGTCTGTCTTTGTAACTGTGACTACTTTCTCTTTGTCTTCCACGTTGATTTGATTTATTACCTCAGTTATTGTATCACTAATCATTATATACATGGTATTATGCTACCTAGGAGAACATTCTGGTGACGGTGCCTCCTGTTTTCATTTCCTGTGCAGGTCCTGCCACAAAATCTTTTGCTAATATTAGCTTGAAGGATTCAGGTAGTACAGTGATAGTTCCAGGTGAGAATGCCAAATCTGAAGCTGAGATGAC